GCGCGCGCGCCGTAATCTTTTTCTTGTTATTTTATTTACCGCCCGAGAGGTCGCGCCCGGCCATTTAAAGTATCAGCCGAATGAATGAATGTGTTGACGTCCAAACGAAACAGCCGCAGTTTAACCCAACCCGATGAGGCAGACGTGTCGAGCATTTAGGTTTTGATTGTTAAGCATTTGCAGACGTCCTACGTGTGGTGCCGGGGTTGGGTTTGCTGATTTGCCTTAGGTTCGATGAAGATGTAATTTTGGGTTTCGTTTAGTTTGTGCATGGTTGGGGGGGGTTTGCAAGTGAAAAGCATGGAAACCAAAACGATAGAAGTCACAATTGGAAGAAACATGGCCGGAATGATGAAATCATGACTCCCAGAAGGCACGGTGTGATTTCCCCCAAAATCTATTTCATGCGCCAAACGGCTAGTCGATTTGCACTACACATGCAGCGAAGAGGGGGGCTGTCCGCTCTGATGTGATGCGATAAAGCTGCTTGCATGAAACAGTCCTTATTGTTTAGTTCGCCTCGCAGTTGAATGTGTGGTTGTAAGAGCATGGCATCTACTATAGGTGCGTATCTTTCATTGCGGCGCACATGTTGAATTATGTCAAGCGTGAGAAATTCTGGTTTTTTGAGAGCAACATCTTGATGTGTCAAAGACGATGTGTGGAGAGGACAAGTTTTTGAAGAGCACGAACTTTCGAAATTGGACAGGCACGTACCCTGGCAGGCTTTTTAGGGCATTTGGACATTGATTGGCAAGCCTCTTTCGCGAGCATGCTTGGTTCAAGGTGTTTGGACTTAACAACAACCTGATGGTACAAAAGTGTGTGATTGCGACATCTGAAAGGAAAATCCATGTGTTTTTGTTTCTGAATGTTTTACATTGCCTCAAGGTACATATTGGGACAGGCACAAACACACGCTTTGCATATGCGTCGTCCAAAGCAGCCAGATACAACCGCATAGTGGTTTCCTATGATTTTAATTTTCGTAGACTTGCCGCAACATGGGTGGATCTGGCATGCTTTGTGTGGATGTCAGCTTCGAAAACCGACAGAGCTGGATCCGAGCTGCCAGGTCGGCGACGAGCAAGGGCGCAAGCCCCCTCAAAACCGAAACAGAAATTGGACACAATGCTCCTTAGCTGGAAACATGTTCCTTTCAACGACGTCATGCCGTGCTGCACTTGCGGATGTTGCACGCAGGTTCAACTGCTTGTTCTGCGGTGGCTTAAAATCAGTGGAGGCCGCGCTGTTCATATCCGCCGTAGCACGGGTTTGAACTGGTCCACGTATCCACGCACGCAATGGACCAAATGTCGTCACATCTTGCATAAGCTCAGTATTCTTTTCAAGCCAAGGTTCGCTGTGTAGCCCCCTGCTAGTTCAATGCAGTAAGCCACCATTCAAGAAGTTCCTGTTGCCAGGGGAGCAGGTTCCCACCCATTCAGAATAGGTCCCGGGGCTTTTATTCGTCTTTCAGAGAGTGCTTCCGGATGCAAAACAAGGGACATGCTTTGCAAGTCATAATTATGCAGGTTTGCCTAGGATAGTCAGCCACCCTGTGACCAGGGATCTCCAAACAATGGGCCTGATTCTTAATTTCAGACCAAATTCTTGGAGCAGAACAAACCCATCCAGAGGTTTGAGCTGATGTCTACCATTAATTCCATGAAATCTAGGTGCCTGTGTGTCTGTTCGCAGTTGTGGTTCTCATTTTGTTCCAGCAGTCATCCTCGCAAAGCTGATTGAGGACCCACACGTTTACCTTTCAGTGGTGGCAAGCGCTGGAACGCCTGTGTCCTGCAACTTTGCCTGTTAGACTCTCGTGCGAAACTGGTAAATCACGGGTGCTGCACGATGGCTGGAAATGCAGTTGCTGGATGTCTCACTTTCTGGAATCAGAATTCTGTGCTGTGTGTGACAGCGGACTGCTGGCTTTTCCGTCGTGGTGGCTCCGAGAATGTCTTGCCCCAACCACAATGTCGGAAAAGCTTCCTGCGCAGGTCAAGATGGTACGCCTCGAGAAAATCGGCTTCTTGCTGAAGCCTCGGACAAAATTAATTCACAATGGCACTAATGCCAGTTGTAAGAACAGAATAGAAAGGATTATAAGTATAGTAACCATGACAAAAATATTGGGATAATGGAAAAGAAAATGGAAACTACTATAAAGGGCTATATGGGGATTATAGGGTATATAATAACCAAATTGTGACCACCATAATTAAACCCTAAACCCTAAACCGCCATATTTTTTGCCAGCCTCGGCTCTTGACTTCTGCGCTCGACAGGAAGTGTCGAGTTTGCAGCGCCGGCTTCTCTTCCGCCATCACCTATCTCAGCGAGGCCTAGGCTTTAGGGCTTAGGGTTTAGGGTCCTTCCATCACATCAGCTGCTCTGAAGTTTCAATGGCCCCGAAGCAAGGCAGTGGATGTCTACAGCGACTGGGTTGACAAAAGTGCTGAGGCCACTTCAAAGAAAACATGATCGATGATCGACTCTCCGGCTTTCTGTCGGGCCAGGCCAACTATGAGCCCCCGGAAGAACCCGCAGCCAAGAAGAGCAAGGTAGCTGAGCAAGCTGCCACATAGCGAGTGCTTTCACACGCGAATTGCGTGCACCCAATACACCAAAGAGTCACGCAGACTAGGTTCGAACTTCGTTTGATATGAAGAGTTGATCTTGTTATGGTCTTGGTGGCCGCCTGTTGTTGCGTGGCTTGTGCAATTGAGACCTTGTTGTTAGGGTGGACAGCCAGGAGCAGATTGCATTTCAAAGTGTGCAATTTGAACTCACATGATCCCGGGCAATGATTTGCCGTGCCAACAGCTGGTAATGGAGATGGTACGGGACATGCCGCGGAGGCAAAACCACTGCTCAAGCTTCGTGTTGTTACACCTGCCAGCCGTGTCAGCTAGAGTTCAGCCAAAGCTCAATGCTGGCCAAGATTACAGCGGGTTGCTGCTTGCTTAGCCCTGCGCATGATCAGTCGTGCAAGTTGCCACAGGTGATGGCACAGTTCATGCTCGTGAAACATCCTGTGGCTCATCAGTAAGCAAGTCTGCAAGCCTCAGCCTGCTTTGCAATTTCGGAGCATGTGTTCAGCGGCATCAGAGACGGCAGGCGCGTAGTGAAGTCATACGGGTGCTAGGAACTGTAGTGCTTCAGCCTGTGTGCCAGCGATGGCGCAAACGTTGAGGGTCATACCTCCGCTGCCTTCCACGGAGAGAGGAAGCTTCTGTTCCATCTCTTCTGATAAAGCGGGCAACTTGGGCCTTGCAATCATTATCAATATTTTCATAGTATTTTTGTTACTAGCATTTGTATACTCCACATTTTGAAGTCCCTGTAGGCGAGCTCTTGCTCTACTGCAGCGGCAGCAATGTGATCTGGCGGCCAATGTCATCCATGGCATCAGGAACTGAGAAGCCTGACGACATCTTCTGTTGGCGAGGCCGTTTTTTTTTGGGTTGTCAAACTGAAAGCAGAAGGATGTATCAGCTTTCAAGGGGAGCCAAACAGGTCACGTGAAGAACACCACCTGCGCTGCCATGTCCCCAAACGGACAGTGGGTCGTGTCTGGCGATGTGACTGGTGCTTTGAGACTCTGGGGTGCCAAAGGGGAGCATGCGCAGAAGAACGAATACAAACTTTGGGATGCTTGGTTCAGATGTGTTCAGATTCTACTGAAGCTCGCTCTGAAGCCAGTTCAGCTACACGACATCATTGCAACTTCTCACGTTCACATTTGCTTTCGAAGGATGGGGTCATCAAAGATGTTTCATGGAGCGACGACTCGGGCCGCCGCTCTGCTTGGATGAGCCAAATCAGTGTCAGCTGCTGTAGCCTGGCTTTCTGAGGTCTCTTCGCTGCTGGTGATGGAAAAGAAGTCCGTGCTGCCGCCATGATCTGGGACACCGGCAGCAAAACCGGTGAGGTCACTGGCCACTCCAAGCAGGCCTGGCGATGGCCAAAGCGTGGCAGCATAAACTTCAGCTCTTTAGCTTTTCTTTGCAGTGTGCAATGCAAAAGCTTCCGGAGCTGTGCAGGTGAACTCGATTGCTTTCAGATCGCAGCGCCCATTCAAAGTTGTGACTGGCGGAGAGGACATGCAAGTAATCTTCCACCAAGGGCCACCATTCAAATTTGGCAGGTGGGAGAGTTGGGGCTGCGGGCGTGTTTGAGTTCTATTCAAATATAATGGTGTGCATACATGAATGCAGGTCCCACAACACCCACTCCAACTTTGTGAACTCCGTGCGCTACTCTCCAGATGGTGCGTGGTTTGTCTCTGCAGGATCTGACTCCAAGCTCTGCCTGTACGAGGGCAAGGAGGGTGAGTTTGTGAAGGATTTTGCAAAGCCGGAGGGCATCTCAGGCAGTTTGTGGGCCTTGGCCTGGTCACCAGATTCAGCACGTTGTGCTACAGCCGGGGGTGATAAGAAGCTCCGCATTTGGGACCGTGAGACAGCTGCACAGGTTGCTGAAGCCACTGTGGGTACAAACCTCATGGACATGCAGGTGGGCGTGTCCTGGGCTTCCCCGACACGTGTGGTTTCAGTCTGTCTTGATGGGCGGATTTTGCTGTGGGATGTTAGCGCTGACATTAGCCTGGCCAGCACCATCAACGGCACACAAGGGCCGCTAAACTGCCTGGCCTGTGACAAGAAGTTGAAGTGCTTGGTCTATGGAGGCACCGAGGGCTCTGTGGCCATCGCTCCAACATCAGGTCCAGCCATCAAGGCGAGCATCGGGAAGGGCATTCAGAATGTGATGGCACATTCGGATGCATTTGCCGGGAAGCCCGAGGCATGGATCATCTCTCTGGACGATTGCATTCGCAAAATTGGTTTGGAAACTGGTGAGGTCAGTGCGCCCGTGGAAGTGAAGGAGTTCATGGTCGGTGCAGGGTGGCTGGATGCTGGGGAAACGAAGCTGATCGTTGCCACCGGGAAGAAGAATTTCCACTGCGTTTCAGACTCGCTTCTCTGGAGCAAGGCAGATGCTGTGGCCCGCAGACCAACCGCCTTTGCCACGCTCGCAGGCAAGAAGGCAGCAGTGGCATTGGAACAGCCAGATGGCCAGACGGGGGGCATATCCAGTGCACAGTATGACATCCATCTCTTTGACATCACCGATGAGACGGCTGCGGGCCTAGTGGAGAAGGCTGTCTTGCAAAAGCATCTGGCAGAAGTGTGCGCTTTGCGCTTCTCTCCAACAGGGGAGCACTTGGCATCCAGCGATGCTGCCCACAAGATCGTGGTCTGGAGCTTGGATGGAACCCCCACTGCCAAGATCTCTGACTGGAATTTCCACACAGCTCGGGTCATTGCTTTGGATTGGCTGGAGGGTGGACAAAAACTCGTCAGCGGCTCCTTGGACCGGCACCTCTTCGTCTGGGACCTTCGGGCTCCAGATAACAAGGTGCAGATCAAGGACACGCACAAGGGCGGGGTCACAGCCGTGGCTGCGGTGAGCGATGCTAGCTTTGCTTCTGCTGGCCATGATGGCTTCGTGCTGCTTCATGGGCTAAGCTAATGTTGAGGCTTTTGCCTCTGACTTTGCTTTGTCCTCAGACGAGCGATGATTCCCGTCTCACCTCACACTGCAACCAACTCGATTCAAGCTTGAAACTCAGCCTGGAACCAAGGACATTTTTTTGCGACTACTCTGTTCTTGAGCGATCGCATGATTTGCTTGAATTCGATTCTACTTGAAGGCACATCTGGTGCTCAAGAGTCAGGCTTTATCCTGGAAGGCCAAGATGCCTTAAATGACAGTTTGGTCCCTCATGATTTTTGCCTACATACGTGCGAGAATTGTTGGGAGCCACTTCAAACATCCAAAAAGAATCACCCCAAGTTACCTTAGGCCTTTGTGACCTTCCTTGTAGCCTCCTGCTAAGCCAGTCTGCATGGCCTGCAGCTTAGTCTGAGGGCTTCCAACTAGCATTCATCACTCTTCTTGTTATTATTACCACTATAACTGGTGTTGTTTCTTGTATTCTGACTATTATTGAGTGCTTGCAGCTGCATGCCTGCCAGGATTTTCATTGAAGCTTTGGGGCCGTCACAGGACTTTAATGCTTGCATCCATTTTGTGCTCCCGATTGCTGAGGCCGGTGACCATGGCTGGGGTGGGGAGCCCGGTGTTATAGTATAGTATAGGACAGGACAGTATAGTATAGTATATTGTAGGTATATTATAGTAGACCATAGGTATATTATAGTATAAGATAGGTATATTGTAGGCATTTTATAGTTGTATTAACGCTGTATTATAGTTATGTTTTAGCTAGGGCCCTTCGCAGGCATGGTGGAGTAAATCGTGATACAGGACTGTGGCGGGTCACTGCCGCTCTCCACGCTTCTTCCGCACCCAGGTATGGAAAGAAGATGGGTCCTACGAGTATGCTCCTGGCGAGCGTGCCAGGTTGAAAGGCTTGAGCCCAGCACTGTCTTTGGCCTCTTGTATTCTGATTATTGCATATAGACTGGCAGCATGGACAGCACGGGAACTGGTACCTGCTTTATTTGTGCGTCAATCTGACGTGCTAGGAATTCACTGCCAGCTGTTGAACACAGATTCCTGGGGTATGTTTGAGTTTGCATGCATGAAGGCAAAGAGAAAGGCAAAGACAAAGGAAAGGGGAAAGGAGAAAAGGGGAAAGGAGACAAGGGGAAGGGAGAGAAGGGCAAAAGCAAAGGCAAGGAGAAGGGGAAGGACCCAGTCTGCATTTCTGGTAGGGACACGGGCCAGAGCACATTGTTGCAAGTCAGGATGGCATGACTGCCGCAGAGCGCCTGGCCTTTGCGCAGGGAGCGCTGTCGGCGCGGCGCTCGGTTCAAGAAGCATTATACCCCTAGAGAACCAGTATCATCGTCCCTAAATCTATAATGTAGTCCCTATATAAACTTTATGCAGTCCTATATAGTCCCTATATAACCCTATATAGTCCCCATATATATATATAGTCCTCATATAGTCCCTACATAGTCTTTTGTAGTTCCTATATAGTCCCTATGTAGTCCCTACGTAGTCCGTATATAGTCACAAGTGACCGCCAGCACTGCGATGGTCAGATGCATGGGCTGCGGAGGCAGAAGGTCCCGCGGCCAAGAAAGCTCGCACTGGCGAGTCATGCACCAAGACAGGGGTTGTCTAGGGATATCTAGGGGGTTATGTAGGGGTTACATAGGGTATACACAGGAGCTATATGGGGGTTATGTAGGGGTTATATTGGGGGATCTATAGGGATTTCATAGTGGAAAAGGAAATTGAAACTACCATTTTGGGTTTAGGGTGCCAAAACACGTGAATGTCTTCCATGAACTATCTCCGAGCACGAGCTTACATGAGTGAGCAGTGAGCAGGCCCGGGGACGACGAAGAGGAGGAAGAGCTTCCTGAATTTGATTTCGAAAAGGAGTGACTTTGCCCACTTGCATTGTCCTACTTTGACAAATGTAGGTGCATGTCATCACTTTCTGCAGGACTGGAAAGACAAGCCAGTCGCACTCCTGAACCTGAAGGCATGATGTTGCATGAGGGAAACGGAGACATCTGAAGACCATCGGAAGACGTGTTGACAGACCCGTGGGGGAACATGCGATTTCGGAAAGCAAAACCTCCGTATCCTTCTCAGGGAGCAAAGGATCTCAATGGGCTCATGGGTGTCGTCAAAGAGCCAGGGGCCACAGATGCAGCCCTCACGAGTGCATGTATGGTGTATGTGTACCAGCAACAATGAGTGTGAGGTACAATGAAGAAACCAAAAGGTTCCTAATCAGCGTGGAGGCCTTCCATGATCTGTCTTGTACAAGAAAGCACCCTGGGAGCAGATTGCTTCATCTATTGCGAATGCCAGGGTGGCAAAGGGGAGAAAAGCATCAAGATGGAGAACATCTTCAAGGCACAACTGACCAGACAATTGTAACTGGCTGCTGAAACAACAGTCTCCAGTCCAGGGGAATGTAAAGATTTTTGCAGCTTGACAGGTTGCAATAGAGGCAATCTTTAGTGGTGCATTTTTATTGCTGCGGCCTCCGGCTGTGTTTCAATCAGACTGGCGCCTGCTGGCGTAGTGCTTCATGTTTTAGACAAAGTGGGGGCTTGTGAGTACGTTTTCCTCGTAAGATGTTAAATCAACATGTCCAAGCCTGGTGAGAAGAGGCTTTGAGAAAGTATGCTCTAGGTGTCCATGCTCCGTGTTGTGAATATTGTGACGAGAGCTGTGCCATTCGCCATGCAGCCTTGGCTTGCATGAAGGCCCGTAGACGGATTCTGGGCATTGCTCTGTTGGGGTGTTTGGTGAACACCAGGATGTTCTCCGCCTGCCAGGGGGCTCCGGCTCCCCGGGGCGGAAGCCCCATCATCCGTGAGGAGGCGATGAGCTTCCCCTTTGACTGCGAGTCTCCTTTCCTCTTTGCCGTCTACCACTTGGACCGGTATCCGCCTGGCAAGGAGGACATGACCCCAAATGCATCGTTGAAGGGGCACAGGATGGGCTCTGATTTCGGTCACCCCTCCGGTTGGAACATGCTCCCAGCCTGCACCAGGTGTTTCGTGCAATCCAGGCTTCCATTCTGTCCATGTTGTCAAGGCTGAACAGTCTGAAGAGTTTTGTTCCAAAGATGCAAGATATTCACAGGTATCATGGGGAAGAGATTCCAGGCTTCCCGAAGCACCCGCACCGCGGCTTTGAGACCATCACAGTGACCAGGCGTGGCTGGGTCGACCACACAGACTCCCTGGGCAATGCTGGGCGCTTCGGAGGGGGCGATGTGCAATGGATGACTGCCGGCGCTGGCATCAACCATGCGGAGATGTTCCCCTTGCTGAATCAGGACTTGAGTTTGGCGCATTTCGGTTGTGCGGCGGGATAGCACGAACATTCTTGTGTGAAGCTTGACAAGCATTTTAGTGAGAAGCTTTCTGTCTGAGGAGTCAGAGAATGTGCTGGAGCTCTTCCAGATATGGATCAACTTGCCCAGGCAAGCAGTAGTCGAAGCAGTGCCAGCAGTCATTAAGATACACAGGCAGGCTGCGGTGCCAGCCTTTGACTCCGTAGGTGTCAAATGCGTAGTTCCCCCTCAAACATCCTCACAACAAGAAAGTCTCAAGATCCCAAAGCAGCACCCGTAACTTTGTCCTTGAGACCCTCAACGTGTCACAAATGGACCTAGGGGAGTAGTAAGGGGGTTATTAGGCGGTATACTTGGAGTTTAGATTGTTGATCATGTGGCTGGTGTACTTCCTATCAGTATTGGTCGCGCGTCTGACGCTACCTGTGTGTTGAGTATAGTAATTCCCGTCATGCACCAACACAATGAGTATGATCTTCACTCCAACAGTGACAGACCTTACTAGACTCGTTACCTAAGGTTTCCAGTATGGCCCCCTAACATGGGCCCGTAGGCCTTTTGGGGGAATTCTAGGGACCCTCAAGAAAACATATAGGGTATATAGTAGATATGTAAGGATCTCAAGGCTAATGGCCCATGCTAGGGGCCCCCTGGTTTCAACTAGATGTTATGAACCCTAGGCAGGACAATTCTGAAGTCATGACCACTCTCGTATGTTTGCCACAGTAGATCACACCTCAACTTCACAGCCTAAACTCATACAACAACTCTTCCTAGCTGAGTCGTAATTTGGCAGTTAGGGACCTCAATGCACTATTAGCCTTATCCATGGGATCCCCCATTAAGGTACACCTAATTTGGGGAAACCGAAACCCTAACTAGTATTTTCCAGTGTTTTGCCATTATTCCTATATGACCCTTATGTAAGCCCTATGTAACCCTTCTAGATACTCCTATATAGCACCCTATGTAACCCCTAAACCCTAAACCTTTAACCCTAAGCCCTATATGCGTTTGCGCCGCTCCGCGTTCCCCCCCCCCCCCCCCTCCTCCCCCCCTCCCCC